GTTAACCTATTTTGGCTGCCCAGTAAAGATCCTTTTGTTCTAAAATATAAACAAAAAAGGAAGAATAACGTAACCCGTAAACGTCAGTACAGATCCCAGCACTTTACTGTTCTCCTTGATGACTCCTACTATTGATCCTATTAAATTTTATGCCTCAGCACATCTTTCATCCGCAAAAATGTACTGAAGTAATTACTATTGAATTTTTAGAATGGTGTTGTTAAGCCAACTGTTTTTTTCAGTTGCTTTTAAAGAATGGAAATATTGCCAATATGAACTGGAAAGCTTAATGGGATTTAATTGGATGCAGTGTCCATGTTGCGAGAACGAGCAACATTCTTGCCACGTGGATGGGAATATGAAGCTTTATCGGTATAAAAGTTCTGGCAAGTGAGTGGAATTTTCTGTAGAGTACCAGCATGTAGCCTGTACACAGACTGTATTATGCTGTAATACAATATATAATACAGTCTGTGCACAGGCTAAGCAGCATGAGAATTTTGCAAGTAATGTCAATGACAATTGTTCTGTATTTAGGTCACGATCCAAGTGCCATATAGTACGGCAATATATTTATTGCTGAAAGAGAAAATGTTCAATCTCACTTGAATATACGTTGTATAAGCATCCAGGATTTCAGTTGCAGGTAATGCAGTACAAGATAATAGAGAGGAGTATTGTTGCCTTGACAGTGTACTGTATAATTGTTTAACTTTGCAAGTACTGCAATTTCATTGAATTTTTGTTCTTGGCGTAAATTTAGCTTATTTCCTATTGCGCACCGTTACCTACAATTTTACTATATTATGTATAGGTTATTTTGAGGCAACGAGGGGATATGTGATTTATTCACCGAGGCGCGCAGCGCCGAGGTGAATAAACACATATCCCCGAGGTGCCTCAAAATAACGTACTTATTTTTCACACTGCGAGGTCGCGTTAATGAGTCAGAAAAGAAATAATTCTCAATGCCATATTGCCTTCGCGATGTTGTTTTTTCTCATTTTTTGTGCTGCAAAGACATTGCAGGTGAATATTAGAGGGGATTATTAATTGCAGGTGAATATTAGAGGGGATTATTAAACGGAAATTGAATAGAGTGGAATATTGAATATATTCCCCGATAAGAACAAAGGAAACCGAGCAGGGTGAAAAATAAGTATATATAATTATGTATATGTAGGACTACGATACACAGGGCAACAGATGTGAAGAGACCGTATGGAAAGCTGCTCGGAATAAGCATCGCAAGAATGCAAAGCTTGACGAAATTGGGTTAGACATCGCTGGCTGCAGATATTCTCTTGATCAGTTTGCTGTCAACATGACTCTAGAAGAATTATATGGCTATATGCACACTTTAGTATAATTACATAGGTGATTATTGAAAATTCTCCACGCTGATTGGTTGCCGTTGAGGTGATTATTACGCGATAATCACCTAAGCGATTTTCAAAATGGCGGCCGAAACCTTTTTGTCAATTTAATGACGAAGAAATTGTGTATTTTCTTATTTTTTTCCAAATAATCACCTATGAAATTATACTAAAACAATTATTCACCTCAGGCTCGGTGATTATCGTGAATAAAAACCTCGACTTCGTCTCGGTTTTTATTCACCGATAATCACCTCGCCTTCGGCGAATAATTGTTAAATATTCTTACCAAAAAGTTTTTGGGAAAGCCGGTGACGTTTTTTTGGCAAGATATAATGTGTAAATTTTGGATATGGGCACAGAAATTGGATAAAAACTTCAGTAGTTACCAAATCAAACCAGCATTGTAGTAGTCATGCATGCTAAAGGACATACCTGAACATGTCAGGTATTGTGTTACAATTTGAACAATTACAGTACATGCATTGGAACATTGTTAATACAGCCAAGAAAAAATATGGCCGTATTGACTATCTTTAGGAGAAAAATTATTGTCTTCCAGGGACAAAATAGGCAATTCCAGCTTTTAGTTTATGCGTGCAGGGGACGATGGGAAGTAAGGTATCACATTGCTGATTATGCTGAACAAATAGAAATGGTGGCTGTGTAAACACGGAGTAATAGCTTATACTTGTGAATATTGAAATATTTCGGTTGTTTCGGTGGTTTTTATTGAAATTTTTCAGCATAATCAGCAATATGATACCATACTTCCCATCATCCCCTGCAGGCATAAACTAAAAGCTGAAATTGCCTATTAAGTGGCCATAATAAAGAGGCGACCACACATTAACCAGGTGATCGTATGGTGCACTGGGTTCACTGTAATGCATTGGTACATTTATTTCTAAAAAATGAGGGAGGGGGGGGGGTAATTTTTGTGACTGTAAAGTTCGCCAGACGATTTTACTCGTCATGGGAGAGCGCTGCAGGCACTAAATGAATCAATAAAGAAAATGATAGTATGCTGTAAAAATATGGACAAAGCGAAAATCAGTTATTTCACCAGTTTCATTAGAACGACATGTCTTTTTGAATTGTTTTGTAACCACTGACAATGCTGAATCTCTGCAATACACGGGTTATATAACTGACTGCTGGTTTACAATTTATAAAAAAGCGCATAGAAAACTTTTATTTTTTGTATTCCTAATGTTTAGTTTATTGCGTGTTTATTTTAAACGGATTTTACTGAAAATGCGACATGGTTTTGATCAGTGTTTTTTTAAGGTACTTTGGGGTGGTCGGTGGCAGGAAGTAGAGCAAATTAATTCGTACTTTTCTAGGTTGGGTAACACAACGAAGTACATGCTTCCAGAAGGTTGGTATCTTTAATACAGCACAGTACATTAAGCGGCCCTGTATATTGAGCGGACACCGTATTAAGCGGACACATTGTAAAGTCCCAAAGTGAATCTCATATACAATGTACGTAATTCCTATTAATGAAACCTTTATTAAGCGGACACCTGTATTAAGCGGCCGGGGACACCTAAATTGGTACAGTACATAAAGGCACAAGAAACCTGTGTTAAAACTGTGTTGTTCGTTTAATGCAGGTTTGACTGTATGCAATATTTGCATTAAAAAATTAACTATTTGCAACAAATATTTATCAGTCGGTCGGTCGGTCGGTCAGAACATATCAGTCAGTCATTATTAGGTTGGTCAGTTAGCTGTTTGATTGGTTTTCAGCCAGAAGTTGAGCAGCAGCCAGCTCGTTCAAACATATACAGCGTGTACGCGAGCACCAGAGAGGACCGGAATTTGTCATACTAGACACCTTAGTGCATATTCAAACTGGTTCGCTCATCATACACAGATTAACGCTCCATAACAGAAAATGGCGGTAGCATGTCGTGTAACGAGCACTAAGATATTCTTGCATCTTCACCTATAGTACGTCTACGATGGGATGCAGCTTCCAATTGCACTAAACACAGGGCCGGGGTAACTAATTATTTATTTTAGGTCGTGATGAATTGCTGACCGAATGCGCAAGGGCATGGAACAGAAGAAAAATTAGTAACATGGTTTTCTCTTTATGTAAAAGATACTATCGAGTATGTATATATATATATACCGCTTGATGTTTGACTGATATTGCATTTGCTTGTTATGCTACCAGCTTTTTATGATTGTGTATTTGTGTCGAGGAAGTAATGATTGTTGAAAAAAGTTTCTCATCCTTTTTTTCTCTGAACGACTTGAAGCTATGCTCAAATTGTTACGGCAAAAATGCCGTTTTGAAATATTAGGGAGTTTAACCTCACGTCTCCGGGAACGGCAAGCCAGATTTTACTTGGCAGAAATTTTGTTTAACTTCTTCGTTTCATATTTTCTTTCTTAAATCACAAGAATTGTTATGCATCACTGTTTTAAAACAACAGGGCCACTTACTCTTCATTGTCTTATATATCTTTGTACAAGGTATGGTGGTCTGTAAAAATATCTCTGAGATATGTACATTGTTAGCATAAATATGAAATAATCCTACCGGCCTACATTCATATATTCACCCTGGTCGTGTGCCTGTGTCACTACATTTCAGGGTATACTATATTTTTCGATAGTGCTCACAAATTCTTTCCTATTATATAGTGTTGCAGTTCTGGCTGAGTACAGTCTTAGTCATTACAAATGAATGGTGTCATCTGAAGCAGACGTATTAAACAAAAATGTCAACAAATAGATTTTGTCTCCCCATCAGCAGATTATTCAGTTGTTCTGTGAACATTGCCTTGAAGGTGCCATTAAAATGATAATTGGGACAAAAACGGACTTATTTCTATATATTAAATTGTTATTAAATTCTATATGTCCAATGATTCATTCAAGTATTATTATTGTTTATGTATATGATATTGTACAGTATTCAGTGGCAAGCTAGCCATGGCAACTGGTCATGCTATGCTAATAAACCTACAATGCAAATGCCTACAATACAAATGCATAGCTAGCAAACTTGCATATCTAGCAAACTTGCATATCATGATCTGTTGCTATGGCTAGCTTCACCACTGACAGTATTATGATTGTACAAAAGCAAGAAGTTATTAGCATTGAAGGTATTCATATAAAATCACCCATGCCAATTTTAAGACCTAACCAGGAACGACTGTGAAAAATGCAGCACAAGGTCCTCTGGTCGGAATTGAACCTACAGCCATGCGATTCCGGTGCAGCGCTCTAACCAACTGAGCTACAGAGGCCAGCTGTTGAGCTGTAACCGTAAGTTCATGTATATATAGGTAATCGGGTGTGCGGGTTGTGATAAGGTGGACTTCAATTATTTGGTTTCTTGCACTTCACTTCATGGAATTAATATTAGAATTGGATTACAAACCCTAACATTCTAATATTTATTCCACCAAGTGAAGTGCAAGAAACCAAATAACTCTAAAAACAACATGGTTAAAAATGTTCTGGTTAATCTAAAATTAACCATGTTTGGGGTAACTTAATGTTGCTGGTTAAACTTCTCGGTTAATTTAACCACAGTCCTGGTTAATTTGATCATTCGTAGCTAATTTAACCAGAGTTTCTGGATAATTTAACCAGGCTATATTGGTTGATAATAAATTCAACCGTTCTCTAACCAAATATTTTTATTCGAAGATCAGACCTATATCGTTTGAGGCAAGGAAGAAAGAACATATCAGGAATACAGAGAAATTTGAGAAAAATTCAAATGTAGCCAAACATGCTTGGGATTTGTCACACAAAATTGATTTTAAGAGAGGGAAAATTATATATATATATATATAGATAAAAGGAAATTATCGGATCCCGAATTAGAAAGACATTAGAATCTTGGCATACAGCTGTTATAGATGGTGCAGACAATAATTCAAAACACTAACAGAACAATATTCTATATTCTTCTAAAGAAACACTAATTACATTCCTTGAATACTTTGATATATTGCATGCTCACTAATTACTTAGCTACAGTTACGTCGTCTTGTAAAATTTTAATATAAATAGATCAGACTGGATAATCTTTCAAAATACTAATTTTACCATAACGGAACTTTAAGCATAAGAGAAGGGTTATTAAAATTACAGATACGACTACAGTGCATGACGCCATGCAAAGTTTTGAAGAAAAAAGCTATCGAAGTTCGCGTTCCAGTGTGTATAGAGAGTTTGTAGTCCCTACCTTCTGTCCTTCTGCACCAGTGAGGATGAAACTTGAGAATATTGGCAGCGGATGGGGAGACTTGCGTGGCCAACACTCCACAATGGCGCCCATTGGTAGACAGAATCTAGGAACTTGCTCTGGCAGTGGAAATCCAGCCACGTCTTGTTGTGGATAACGACTGAGAATTTCTATAATATTTTGTAGTTTTGATATTTGCTGTGTTGGTGTAATGTACTCAGGTGAATAAGATGCTTGTGATGTTACTCTGAGTGTATATCCACACCGGGCAGGCTTGAAAAATATGCCTGGCCACGGTGGGAATCGAACCTACCACCTTTGGAATTCTAGCCCAATGCTCTGCCAACTGAGCTACGCGGTTAAGTCGGTTCGAGTGTTTGATATTTCGGAACTGAGTCTAGTTCCTTCGATATCAATGTAATCTAGTTCCTTCGATATCAATGTAATCTATAGTAATCAGGTCGAACCGACCTGACCGCGTAGCTCAGTTGGCAGAGGATTGGGCTAGTATTCCAAAGGTCGTAGGTTCGATTCCCACCGTGGCCAGGCATATTTTTCAAGCCTGCCCGGTGTGGATATACACTCAGAGTAACATCACAAGCATTTTGTAGTTTTGTTTCAACATCTAGCAAACTTGCGAAAGGTCAAGCTTGCCCAGGGGAGTAACGGGGGAAGAGGGGGCCCTTAGGCATATTTGGTGTGGGGGGCCCTGTTGATCGTTGTCATTGTTTGACTGAGATATTATATTTATGTTGAATATTTATAGAATGTTCTGGAAAATTTCGTGTCTATAACAATAACAGTCTCCAACACATGTAACATTTAATAAGAATAACTTTTGTTTTATTCGAGATGAAATAAAAAAATCAGCTACCGTTGTCGATGGAGGTTTTATTATTTAGCATTATTAATTTTTCATTTTCCCATTGATCCTTAACCTGCATTTGTTACGTTTTCTAATTTTCTGGGCGATAGGCCGTGGCTGATGGGAGCTTATTTTTTTAACTGACCCTAAACAATGTGCATTACGTTACTGGTCTTGCCCAAGCTGGCCTTGCGCCCTTCAATTTCTCGGTTTGATTTTTTACACTGTCTTAAAATGGTCAGATTTGCGCAGTTTTTGCGTCAAAGGAAAAAACATTTTAAAGGCAAGTTCAGCCTGTTGAACGATGGTTTTTAAGGCGCATTTGAGCCCTTTTAATTGAAAAAACTAACTAGGAAAATCAATTAAGCATAATTCAAGATCACCAAACTTAATGTTTTTAATATTTTAAAACATTTATATTGTTAAAAACATCGATTTTACTGATTTTGAATAATGCTTAATTAATTTTCCTAGTAAGTTTTTTCAATTACAGTGCGTCTACTGTAAGTGGGGCCACTTAGAGAACACTAACCAATCACATTGCAGAACAGAAAGTGAAAAAATCAACAAACGGCGCATTAGCCAATCAGCATTAGGGCAAAAACAATTCGAACAAATAAACGAATGTCAAACGGTAAAAATAGACTTGTAAAAGTAAATACTGCAGTTAATGGCTTCCTGAATCTTTCTTTTGATTGGACGAGCTTTAGTTTGATTAGATTTTTCTTTTTGTTCTGCAATGCGATTGGTTAGTGTTCTCTAAGTGGCCCCACTTACAGTAGACGCACTGTAAAAGGGCTCAAATGCGCCTTAAAAACCATCGTTCAAAAGGCTGAACTGTGCCTTTAATACCAGGGGAATGTCTCTTCGTAACCATAAACATGCAATATCTCAAAATATGCAGAGTATATTTCGACTATACCTATACACGTTTTAGGAAGAGTTACTTTTTTAGATTTATTTTTGTAATTTTGTATTCTTTTGTGTTTTATCTAAAAAAAAATAATCGTAACCCAAATTCTAATCTAAAAAAATTTTAAAATTTTAAATTCTAATCTTTTTAAATTCTAATCTTAATCCTAACGCTAATCTTAATCCTAACTCTAATCCTAACCCCAATCTTAACCCTAACCCTAATCTTAATCCTAATCCTAATCTTAACCCTAATCTTAATGCTAACCCTAATCTTAATCCTAATCTTAATCCTAACCTTTCCCTAATCCAAACCCTAATCCTAACCCTAAAAGTCTAAAAATAGTAACAGTTCCTAAATCGTGACTCATATGATTTCGACTCAAAAACCTCAGCAAACGAATGCACCCACCGGGACTCAAAATGCGCCAATTTGAGTAAAGTATCAAATTTACTCAATTTTTTGAGAAAATGCAGGGTTTCCAATAGAATTTAGAGTAGGAGGCTTTTTGGAAAACGTATGCGCCTATGTGGTGCTGAAGGTATTGGTGGGGGACAGAAATTCTGAAATTCAGGCACTCTGAAATGACATTTCCAGGCATTGTGCAGAGTAGTTTTGCAGACTTGTTTTGTCTTATTATCCAAATATTTAACGAAGAATATAGTCTAAAATGTACAGTATGTTATAAAACCCTTCCCTTAGTATAGGTAATCATGCGATGGCGAGTGCAAGTGATGTACGAGTGATGTTTGGAAATTTTGCCAAAATTGGACGAGCCGCCGGGACGAGTTGGATACTTCTCCGTTAAGATCTTATTCTCTCGCCAAAGTCCAGTCCTGACAGACTTTCAACCAAAATTTGGTGCTTTTGTTCGTATTTTCATCTAGTTCCTCAAGGACAATTTCATTTCACATTTGTGTTTAAAATACCTTTCCGCCATTTTGTTTGTTTTGGGAAAATCATTAATTGTACTGCACTACAATTAATGAATAATTGTACTCCTCTCAACCAATCATCCAGTAATTTTTTCATGCTAATAATAAACATGGTAAGAAAATCTTTTGGTTTATAATTTTGAGAAATAACCGCCATTTGTCTACGTTACACTTATAGACAGTGAAAATTGCCGGCTGCTGGCTTCTAGTGAACTGTAGCCTGCGAACAGGCTCTCAAGCTGAATTGAGAGCCTGCATCGATGACTAATGAATTTGAATATCTGCGTCTCAAATCGTGACGCGAAATTCTCATTGGTCAGATGCTATAATTCATATGTTTCCGCTGAGCTCTATATATGTCAACTGCTTAAGCACTATGCATAAAAACACATTAACTGATCAAATTGGTCTTGGCCATCTTATCTCAAAGCACGAAATGTTCTGTTTTGAAAAAACAATATTTAAAACATTTGAACTTTTGCTTGAATATCTTATATTTCGAAAAACAGTATAAACTGTACGGTATAAATTTAGTTTGCACAGTCTAAATTTAGTTTGCACGAAAGTTGTAAACACACCATATAAGGATAGACATTCCATATTTGGAAAAACGGACGTTACGGGGCAGATATTCAAATTCATTACTCATCGATGCAGGCTCTCAATTCAGCTTTAGAGCCTGTTCGCAGGCTAAGTGAACTGTGAGTAAATATTTACTTTTCTAAAAAAATGAGCAAATTTGTTTTTCTCAAAATTTTGAGTCATTATGGGTGCATTTTTATGGGTTAAAATTTTTTGTACTGTTTAATGCAAGAAAGACTTGGCCAAACTATTTGTCTTTTTATTTTTGTCTTTTGTACGCTTGTACTTAGTTTATTAAATGAGGAGTTAACATAAAAATCACCGCACCTGCTTCATAAGTGATACAATGAGGTCTTGCTGGAGATTTTCTGTAGCACAGGTACACATCAGAACTCACCTAGAAATTGTTCATTTCTTTTAAAACTTTCAAATTACAAACAAAACTTTCAAAGTAAAAACGCACAAGTTCCTACAGGTCTGCAAACAAGTTGTCACAAATCTGCTCACAAGCTGTCGACACGTTGTGTTTTTGGTTGTTGTAACAAGTTTGGAACAAGCTTTGAACAACTTGTAACAAGCTTGATGGCATTATCAGACTTGTTACAAGGTTGTTCTAACAAGTCTGATACAGTCATGATATGACAAGAATGTTACAAGGTTGACGACACGAGGTTGTAACAATATTGTTAGTGTTATATCGTAACTGTATCGGACTTGTTGGAACAACCTTGCAAAAAGTCTGATGCTATCAATTAACAAGGTTGTTACAAGTTAATAACAGCCTGTTGACAACTTGGGACAAGCAGTGCGAACACAACTTATTGACGACTTGTTGGCAGACTTGCTACAAGATGCGAGATTTCTGCACGTGTATATCACCATTCAAAATTAACATTTAACAACAGACAATTTCCAACAGTAAACTGGCACAAAAATAATACCTACCATTCCTTTGTTAAGATTTCTTTGTATTAAGCAAAATGCATGAGGAGTTTTCTCACCCTGAAATAATTTGCAATGACATATTTTAGAAGCTAGTTCTGAGCTGCTGACAGGCAGTGATTGACCGATTGTGCCACAATCGAAAATTATCGATCACCGATTATTCATGCAACAATCTACCCGATACCTCGAGAGGCAAACAAACTTAATTCTTGAAAAGTATATTTAGTGCTTTATTGGTAAATTAATGCTAAAATTAAGAGATTTTAGATGGTATGCCAGATTTGTTGTAAAATGCGGAAAATATAGTGCATTTTCCCGTGCGTAATACAAATTAAAACAACATTTGCAAATTTTGTAGGGCTATATATTTTCCTCATTTTACAACATTTCCCAACCAAACTTTGCAATTTTACTAATTTTAACATGCTCTTTCTAGCTGTGGTGATGGAATTTGTTCTTCTTGCCTAGATCAAAACTTAGTCTATAGCTGGAATAGTGGAATCATCCAATGAACCTCCCGAAAAATCTTCATAACAGACGAGTCTGTTTCCAGCCCTTCCCTTATCTAGTGCACTTACCTTACTAGTTATGATGACATTAATGTGGGTCACTGCCAAAGACGTGTGAGTCACCTTCGATGAGGATCTTCGATATGTAATAAATATTCCATTGCTAGCACTGTCACTGATGTTTGCACTGTGTCCTTGTGGAGTGGTGTCTAATATATCACAACCTTCGATAAGTCGCTCCTTTCCCTCATAGAGAACACTAAAAGAAATTGTTTTAGGATCAAATAAGAGAAAGAAAATTACCCAAGGACAGAATAGCTCGGAATTGATGAAACAGCAAACAGCAACTGACATCTCTGATGGCTAACAAATACTTGAAATCGCTCAATTTGGAAAGGACATATATATTTTCCTGACAATAGACAATTCCCATTATATATATATATATACTAATTTTTAATCTTGGCAAAAAATATATATTCCCGGAAAGGGCATACTAAAATTAGTAAAATTGCAAAGTTTGGTTGGGAAATGTTGTAAAATGTGGAAAATATAGCCTTGCAAAGTTCGCAAATTTTGTATACTTTTGTATTGCGTGCGGAAATTGCTACCACATTTGGGCCGAAAATGGTAGCAATTTCCGCACGCAACACAAAAGTATACAAAATTTGCAAATTTTCCAAGGCTATATTTTCCGCATTTTATAACATTCCACAACCAGACTTTGCAATTTTACCCATTTTAGTGTGCTCTTTCGAGCTGTGGTGATTTATTTGCATCTCCTTGCCTAGTTTTAAAATTAGTCTATGATGAGAATTGTCTATTGAATTGGCTTGAATTTTAGGTATTTGAAGAACTGTATTATTATGAAGAGCCAAATTTACATACAGTGGGGGTAGCAAGACACAGGGCTTTACCACAGAATAAAGACACACAGAAGGTCGACTGTAAAAAAAACTGTAACCGCTGCCACGCCACAATTTGTCATCAAAATGCTGCGCCATGGCACAGAATACTACACAGAACTGTCAGAAGGCCATCTCCATTGTTTTTTTGCGTAAGCGCTATTCGTCATGATTTGTCACTCAACAAGTACCCTAAACAGAAGTGGTCACCCCCCTTGGAAATATCCAAAATGGCACTTTGTGGGAGAAAGCCATGGAACTTCGGCCAGAACTTGAAAAATTGGTTCCAGTGCACCCATACAACTTGTGCGTTTTGACGCCTGTTGGAGAAACTCTAGTATACTGCTGGCATAACCAGGGTCTTAACTAGGATTTTAGATCTTGGGCGTGTTTCTAATGACCAGGGCGTGCACATGTCAATTACCTTGAATAGCAAAATCACGGTTCTAGTTATGCTCGCCAACAATAGTTGTTCTATATATGCTTTACAACCAAATACAAGGCGAGCATACGCTCATATTGCGCACTGACATTAAAATATTAAGTTAGTTCAGGAACTCTTAGGGGTATTTAAAACCATTTTAACACCATACAGTTCCCATTATCCATCAAAATATTAAAACATCACGAATCACTTTTGCCAATTCAACAACAACAGTAGATTTTACAAACTTTCTTACGACGTAAATAGGAAGAAATTCTGTCTGTTGTAAGTAGCACCACCTTATTTTATGAACCTACACGGCCTTATATAAATAGTGAAGTCGCGTTAATTATATATATAGTTAATTTCTTGTAAATATAGGTAATTTCACGCCCCTCGTGGAAACCAGCCTTCCAACGGCTGTTGAGGCTAGCGTGGTTTAAATAAAGTTTGTATGTATGTATGTATGTATATGTTCATTTTATCTAGCCGTGTTTTTCCACTTTTGGCCGCGATAACACGTCCAACACAGCCCTCTAGCTAAGAATCTGGGCATAACTAGTCTTAAAATCTTGTAATATACCTACCCAATATCCACAATAGGAGGTTTGTCTCTTCCTCGACGATAACACAAGAAACATGATTCACTTCTGAGCGATCCTGAATTAAGATCTGCTGAAAACCCACTTGGCGTCTTCTCAACACAGGTGAATCCTTCCGGGGGAGTTTCACCTTTATTTTTAAAAATAACTGTGATATCAGTTATTGGGTCAACTCTCGTACCCTCTGCTTCCAAAATCTGTTTAGTATTTCTGCCGAGCCCGGCTACGACAAAATAGTCGGCAACTTTCTGTGGTTTTTCGTTATCAGCCATTTTGTAACATTGCTATTGTTTCTTCATGTATTCGACATTCATGTCAGGTTGGTGGGGATATAACATCCTCATTGCAAGGCCAAGCATTGTGGCATGTCTCATCAGTCTGCAGAAGCTTTGTTATAATTGTTCTCTATCAAAATACAATAGCATCACAATATAAGAGATGGATGTGTTTTTATAGTACACGCGTAAAAATGAACAAGTTGTTGCAGGTCTGCAAACAACATGATGATAAGCGAACTGTGAACAACAATTACAATTCAAATACAGTAGTCGGGCAAGACTTTGCAATAGTCAAGCAAGTTGATAGGCGCAGGGGCGGACATATCGATTTTGACTGGGAGGGTGTAATCACGAAATGAGACCGACTCACCACTGAAATGTGAATCCAGACCGACTCTTGGTGAGTTGGTGTGTTGCAATAAAATTGAGTACAAAGCATGGAAATTGATGGAGTTTATTAGGAATTTTGCAAGAACACATACAGTTTGCTGTGAAACGTTATATTTTTATTAAGTGGCCGCGCTTAGTCAGGTTTGACTACGGATTAGCGATTTTGTCAAGATCGTCGTGTCTGTTAGATCACGCTAGCTCACACGCAAGAGTCAAGAGTTCACCGAAGCGTTCCTGGTTCATTACTGAACACATAACAGTTTTCACTGATTTCAGCTTTGAAAAGCTGCGCTCGGCTAATGCGGATGTTACAGGAACTGTCAGGCGTGTAACTATAGGATTTTTGATTGACCGAGGCTTAGAAATGCTATTTCCTGCATTCTGGGAGCAGTTCAAACAAAATTTCATAAACAGTGACACAATGACTATAATTTTATACTGTAGTTTCCCCCCAATCCCGAGGCTAAGAATTACATTTTTGGTCGAGCATCGATCATTGATCAGGTGCATAATAAAAAAGTGTTCGTGCTCAATTGTTGTAATATTTGGGTGCTGGCCCGCACTTTTGTTATTGGGGTACTTGTGCACCCACACAGCCTCCCATTCAGTACGTCACTGTAGGGCAAGAATAATGCTTCTTTACATAGAGAGAACTATACAGTCTGTCATTGAACATGAACTCGATTGACTCATTTACCTAGTTATGGGCCTGACTGTAAGCAACAATTGGAAACATCGCCTAGTCAGTGGAAACAATTTTTCGCTCCGTGATTTCAGATAAACCAGTGCGTCGTTCACTGATCGAATTTCTTGATTGCAGTAGGCACATAAAACTCTTTGGTAACAAAATGCATATGCATATTGTGTTACATGTGAACATACTTCCTAATATAACTCGGCTAGAAATTCGTTTTTGCACTTTACATCTTAAAAATATAGTTTAGGGACCGGAGAAATACTGTAACTAATGTTAGCTATTTTGATCGAGTTCATCGCATTTTGGAGTCTGATTGTGGGGGTTGAAATTTTCTCTAATATAGAATATCACCCGTGAATGACCTTGCAGAACCTAAATTCCAAATAAAAGTGCCAACACGTAATCGTGACATATAGATATCTCCATGTTTGGAAAGTAAATGGAAACTTCATCCCTTCGCGCGTGTTTTGAATGATAATTCGTTCATAAACTAGCGAAATAAGTACGTAATATTTCTTCATATTACTTCTGAGCTGTTTGATCCGTTTGAGCAAATTTCCAACTCAATAGTCTGAGTCGATCTCGAGTTTCGAAACTGGATGGGTGGGCGACACACATGACTGACAACTCGGCACCAGAGCTGGCAGAGTACCCCCCTACCAGATCATGCTGGATCCATCCCTGAATATTGTTATGTATCATGACTGTATTGGACTTGTTGGAACAACCTTGCAACAAGTCAGAAGTTGTTACTGTCAATGCAATGGAAGTGTTGATAAAATATTGCATGAATTCATTTCCTCAAGTTGATCAATTCATACAAATTCAAATTTCTTTTTACTTCCTGTGCGTTTCCTATTGGTCAATCGGTTCTGAAACAAAATCTAATTGGCTCATCTAAAAGGAACAGGAAGTTGATCAATTTTCTATCAAATGAATTGGTCAACTTGAGGAAAGGAATTGGTGCAATATTTTATCAACACTTCTATTGCATCGACAGTAACAGCTTGTTCCAAACTTGTTTACAACTTAGGACAAGCAGTGTGAACACAACTTGTTCATGGCTTGTTGGCAGTAGCAAGTACTTGTAGCAAGTCTGCCACAGGCCTTAAAATATCTTTTACAGGGCCGTCTGACAAAATGTCCGGTGACGTTGAGTTTGGGTCGGACATATGTCCGATGACCTTCAGTTCAGTTTTGACTCGGAAATAAATCTGAATGACACAAATGAATTATGAATAAACGGTAAATATTGTAAAGATAAAAAATAATTTGTTTCTTTCATACTTATTTCCAAGCCAAAATTAATTTGCTTTCCAGAACAGCAGTATTAAAAAAGACTTCGACAACTTAAGCCTGTTTTCCACTTCACCATTTCGGTCGCCGCCCCGCGCTAGCGCT